CAGGGCTCGGCAGCACCCGGTCACGGGGGTCCCGGCACACGCAGGAGCTCCGGTGGGAGAGGGGACAAGGAGCCTATGGCAGCGGCTTCAGCCTCCCACCTTCATCTTCACATCCTCATCCACCAGCCTGAAGTGCTTCAGCTCATAGTCATGGGGGATGTCGTCGTAGCTGTAGGGGCGCACGGAGAAGTCGCTGCAAGCCATGGGCACCCGGACGAGGTTGTACTCAATCCCTGTGGGAAAAGCGGGAAAAGCATCAAGCAGCACCGGAGCAGGCGCCCAGGTGAGGGGTGTCCCTGCAGCGGGGACAGGCACGGCCACCTCCGGTGACCCCACGAGCCGCCGACGCTGCCGTGCCCTCACCGCTCACCGCACGCGGAGAAGTAGGAGCGCAGCAGGTTGTCCTGGGCCGGCCGTGACAGCCGCAGGATGTTCATGGCAGCTGAATCCGAGAGGGACCCGCCGAAGCCCTTCATGCTCTGGTACAGCGTGGTGATGTTGAGGGTCAGCAGCAGCCCTGAGGGGAGAGCCCTGCTCAGCCCATGGTGCCCGGGGGACCTGCGGTGGCACCGCCGCCCACCTTTCCGAGCCTGGCCGTACCTGGGGTGTGCAGGCTGTGCTGGAATTTCCCCTCGCTCCTCTCCAGCCTCTTGCCGGCCTTGCTGCTCTCGTACTTGACGTAGGAGCCGGGGGGTGGCAGGACCAGGGGGTCCAGCGTGTCACAGTACGTGGCGTTGCAGACACAGACTATCGAGCCATGGCCAAAATCCCTGGGGATGCAGGGCCGGGCGCCTGGGGGGCACGGGAGGGGAGGGGGTGGCACGGGAGGGGAGGGGCAGCTGCAGGCTCAGCTCTCCCACCTGCCCCGGATGATGTGCTGCCCCCATGCCTTGCATCCTGTCACCTCCCCAGCACCCGGGTCCATCCTGTCCCCAGGCTCCTGCCCCTACCCCGGGACATCCCGGCGCCCCGGCACATCCCCGTGCTCACCTGCCGCCCGGGGCACCGGCATCAGCAGCAGAAGCAGCAGCAGGAGCAGCCAGCCCAGGATACTGAGAGCCCCCATGGCCCCTCCACGTCCCTTCAGCTCCAGCAGGTCCCAGGGAGCAGCACCTGCGAGCAGGAGAACCCTCAGCCAAGGCAGGGGGATGGAGGGACAGGCTGTGCTTCCCTCCGGATCTGCCCCATCTCCCCAGCCCCTGCTTCTCTTTTCTCTGCCAGAGAGCTCCTGCCCCCAGAACACCTTTGTCTTTCAGGTAGGTGAGGTGGGTCCAGCCCACCCACCTTCACCCCGGCTGCTCCCGACCTGTGCTGCTGCCAGCCCTCCTCCTCCTCAGCGGCTCCAGCCTTTACAGGGAGCTGCTCCGAGACCTCCCTCTGCAGCACACCCTCTCCCTCCCCCACAGCTCCTCCTTGCCCTCCTCCCGGCCCGTACCTGCCCTGGGGCCGGGACCATCGAACTCTCCTCGCCGTGGGGCTGGGGAACACCGGGTCCCCCTCGCCCCCAGCGCCGTGCCAGGGAGGGACAGCGACACAGCGCCGGCAGCTCTGCCTGAGGGAAGGGCCCCACCAGCTCAGGGAGGTGTCGAGGGGGGAACTCTGGGACCCCTCTGCAATCCCTGAAGGAAGAGCCGATTCCTTTGTTTTGTCGGTCACGGTCTGGACGAGCCCCTGGGAGTCTGGCAGAGCCCAGGGAAGGCTCGTCACAGCTGCCTGTCCTGCTGGGAACCTCCAACAGCATCCTGGACCACCCACTTACCCCTGCCCACCACCCCACTGCCCCCCTCTCCCCCAGGAGCTGCCATGCATTTGTGTCCAGCATGGGGAGGGCCCAGGACCCCCGGGTGATGCCAGCAAAATGGCCCAGGGTGGCAGAGGGACCCTGCAGGGATGGCCACACAGGAGCTGGGGCCACTGCCATTCCCTGACAAAGGCTTTGGAATTGCTCTGCCCTCCTCAGTGGGCGCTGGGGAAGGTGGCAGCAGTGGCAGCAGTGGCAGCAGGTGGGCAATGCCCCAGCTTCCACGCAAGCAGGGCTGCACTCTGGCCCCTGGCCATGGCAGTTGGACCCACAGACAGGGACTGGGTTCCCTAACACCAGCCATGCCAGGAGCAGAGCCCAGCTGTGGTGACCAACTGCTCCAGGAGCACTCCTTGCTCCTCTGAGAGGGACCCTCCAGCCCAGGACAGGGTTGAACTGGGCCAGCTCAGCTGGGCACACAGATCCCACCTGATCTGGGTCCCATCACCCAGGCTGTGCCTGATCCCATGAACATGTCCCCATCACTGCAGGGACGACCTCAGTATCTCCCCACAGGGGTGGCCCAGGGGACAGAGAGTGGCCACATCCCAACCACAGCTCCCTGGCACAGCTCCAGTGGCCTGGAGTGTCAATCCCCACGTCAGAGCTCCCCTCCACAGGGTTAAACTGCTCCGTTAGCTCTCCCTGCCCGGGTGGAGCAGCACTTCATGACTAATTTGCTCCTTTCCTGGCATATCAGATGCAGCTCTGGGGCAAGTCAATTCATCAGAGTTCCTCCTGCCCCCAGCACTGCACTGCCATGGGCCCTGCCATGGTCCCACACCTTCGCTGGGAGCTGAGCCACGGGACACCAGCCCCTGCTGCCACCAGAGCTGGGGCAGACAGGGCCAGGCAGCCCCTGGTTCCATCTCACAGGGCAAACAGCTGCCCTGGAAGGGAGCTCCTGGCCCAGTCCTACTGTGCTGTGTATCTCCCACCCCCAAGTGTGATTAAGTTGTCACGCGACTGCTACGCCCAGGCTAATGAGCCCCAGTTTTAGGGAGGGGTTAATAGGTCCTGTGGCCATCAGCCACCTCCCAGCCTGCTTCCAGCCACCTGGGATGCCCCACTCACCCTTTTCCGTCCTGAGGTCCTGCTGAGGGGCCAGAGCCCCCCAGCTGGCTCAGGTCCCTGCAGCTCCTGGAAGCAAAAACACTGCGGAGGCTGCTGGAGCTCATCCTTATCAACATCTGGCTGATAAGAGCGTCCTGCTGAGCAGGAAAAGTGAGACCCAGGGGACGGGCAACGCCTCGCACCACGGAGCCGCTGGCACGGGACGTGCTGGGCAGCCCCACCAAACCCCCAAAATCCGCTTCTTGTGGCCGCTCCCCGCGCACAGGGGGCTGGTGGGGGTCGCAGGGGCCTCGCTGGCAACGTGTGGCCGCCCTTTGCAGCGCACAGGTGGGTTCGTTCCGTGCCGGGGCCGAGGATGTGGGCTCAGAGGAGCTGGTGGAGGAGTCGGGGGGTGAATTTTGGTCCCTTAGTCAGGAGGGTGTGGATGGGGACCCTGGGGACACTGAGCTGGGCTGAGTCACCTTTATGGGCATCACGACTCCGTAAACACCGAGGCCAAAGAGCCTCAGTGTGGCATCACAGCAGTTCCTTCCCCACAGCTCGTTCCCCGCAGCGGGACCCCAGCCTGGAACACGGAGGGACACAGACTTTAGGGTGGTCACTGGTGCCAGGCCAGTTCCTGGGGGGCCCCAGCAGCCCCCTGCCACTGTGAGCCCCAAACAAGGCAAGGCTTTGCACAGGAATTAATGAGTCAAGCCCAGCCAAGCCCAGGACTCGCCCCCGCTCCGTTTATCCCAGAGCTGCTCTGTCCTTCAGAGCCGAGCACAGAGACGAGGGCACACGGACCAGGGTGATTCAGCATCTGGCCACCAGCTGTTAGGACCAGGGCAAGTAAGAAAGAAGAAGGTGAAGCAGCAGCCCTGCACCAGGAGCAGGGTGCTGGGAGCGGGATGCTGGGAATGGGATGCTGGGAGCAGGACACTGGGAGTGGGGCTCACTCTAGTTATGATCCTGGAGAAATATTTCCCTCTTGTGGACAAACACAAACAGCCTCGGGGCAGGAGCAGGGTGCTCTCCCCAGGATGCCTCCTGGAGTTGAAGGGTCCCAGGGCTCCCCCCCTGGAGCAGTGTTGCTGTGGTACCACAGTGCAGGATGTCCCAGGGTGACTCTGTCACGCACAGACCCCGCCTGGGCCGTGCCCAGCCCACACAGCATCGGGGCTGTCAGCCCTGACAGCACCCCCGGGCACGTCCCACCCCCGCGGATCAGCCCAAGGGCCCGGCCGCCCTCCTCGCCCTGCAATTGTGACCTCCCTGCCCTAATCCCCTGCTCCCACGCCCTGCCAGCTCCCTCCCTCCTTCCTGGGTGGACCCACTCTCAGCGCCCACTCCTGGCCCTGGGCCAGCTTGCTCAAGCTGCCCCAGCTCCGTGGTGGGTGCTGAGCCCCTGGTGCACCCCCACTCTCCTCTCCACAGTGGGGACCCCTCTGCCCAGTCCCCACAGGGGCACAGCTCATGCTCCAGGCAGGGTTGCTGCAGCCTGGCCAGCATCCCTGTCCTGGCAAAGCCCCAGGAGCAGCTGGCAATGCCAGAGCCAGCTGGGACCCTGAGCCCTCCACGCTGCGATGCCTCTGGAACTGGCTCTGCCTCCAGCCCTGACCCTGGGAGCACCCTGGGCTGGGAAAAACGTGATTCACACACCCCCTGGCCCAGCACTGGGCTGTGAGTGGCTCCAGCTTGGTAGTAAAAGCATGGAAAGCTGAACCTTGACTGCAACCCCTGCCCAGACCTTCCATCAGAGGGGTGTCCAGGTGTTTCGTTCCTGCTTCTGCTCCTGCTCCAGCACCCAGAGCACCTGTGTGCCAGGTGAATCCTGAGCCACTTGCCAGGTCCTAAAACCTGTCCCCAAAGGCACTGGAAGAGCACCCAGGCTCTGCCCAGCCCCTGCCAGGCAGTACATGCTTGGAACTGGGAGGAGACTGGGAGCACCCCCTGGCACAGTGAGCTCCACAGGGAGCTGTGGGGGGCAGAGGGGGAGCAGGGAGAGGGGCTGCCCCATGGCATTCCGAGTGTTCCATGCTGCTCTCCGTCCTCCTGCGGGCTCCATGCCCGGGTGGCACCCAGCCACAGTGCCCAGGAGCAGGGGAGGGACCCGGACGTTTCTCTCCCAGCCGCGGACACCGAGGCAGCTTCACCGTTTAATGCCAGAACAGCAGAACACAGCGCTCACGGCCTGTGGGGTCTCCACCCTGAGGGGCACCGGTGCCCCCGGCCCTCCTGCCACACGCACGGCGTCCCCGGCCCGGCTCGCTCCGGGCGCTCGGCTCCGAGGAATCGCTCCCCCCGCGCGCCCCGGCCCGAGCCCGCGGGCAGCTGGGGCCGCACGTCCAGCCCGGCCGCGTCCGGCACGTCCACGGGCGCCCCTTCCCCGTCACTGCCGCTGCCACACGTAGGTCTGGATGGAGTTGGCCGGAGCCACGGCGGAGATGAGGCCGACGGTGTCGGCCAGCCCGAAGGAGATGTCCTGGGGGGAGCTGTGGAGGGGAGAGCAGGGGGGGTCAGAGGTGCGGCACCCACTGGTGCGCAGGGCCCACAGCAGGGGCTGGGCCGTGTCACTCACCGGTTCAGCACCACCACCACCACGGCGCCGTCGGGGCGCAGGAAAGCCGTGTGCTCCAGCGCTGTCTTCTTGGACTCTTTGGAGGCAACGAGCCCCACGCGCTGGGAGCCCTCAGGAATGAACTTACTGCACAGACAGAAGCAAGAAGCAACCTCAGGGAGGGAGTCAGCTCCCAGGAGAGCTCCTCTCCCACCAAACCTGCCCCGCTCTCCTCCTGACGAGCTGCTGCGATGATGGAGCTGAAGACCAGGCAGGTGGATGCACGTCAGGGGCCCCAACCCACCTGAAGTGCCCCATGTGGTAGAACATGGGCTGTTTGTAGAAGATGCCTTCGCTGCTGTCCACGATGATGGGGCTGTCCACATAGTTCTTGACCCAGTTGGGGCCCCCCTCCAGGTCCAGAGCCAGGTTCCAGTCGGTCCAGCCAGTCACAAAGTGGTTCAGGTTCTGCAGCAGGACAGCTCAGACATGTGCCCAAGGAGCAGGGTGCCGAGGGGAGAGGGAGCACGCTGGCAGCCCTTCCCAGGGCCCATCACATGCAGTGATGCAGGGGCCTCACCGTCAGGATGCTGTGGCTGTACTGGTTGCCCCGGTCCCAGCAGCCCAGGATCACATCCCGCTCCCAGAAATGGGCTCCGATGGACGCCTCCGTGGCCAGGATGAAGTAGTCAGGGAAGAGCTCGTGAGTGGGCAACACTGTGTCCTGTATGGGACCGATGAAGTCCAGGTACCAGTGGATGCCGATGCCATGGACATAACGAGCTGCCTCTTCATCCTCCAGCACCTGGCGGGGAGAAGAGTTGGTCCTGTGGGGCAGAGCCAGCGCCCCAACCCTTGCACAGCGGGACGGAGCGGCCGAGCCCCCCCGTGGGCATGGGGGGCTGTGCCCCGGCTCTCTGTGCCAGCCATCCCTGCCCACGCTCACCACTCTGGCCCAGTGCGGGAGGTGGAGCCGGTTGTCGTCCAGGATGATGAGCTGGACGTGGCGGTGGGAGCTGTTGGCCAGCGCCGGGCCCAGGTCGCGGGCGATGAAGTCCCGCTGCTGCTCGGCCGTGAAGCCCAGGCACTGGAAGGGGTAGTTGTTGATCAGCCCGGCCGTGGGCTCGTTCTCTGCTGTCACCGCCCAGAAGGTCAGGTTGTGCTTGGCGTATTCATCCAGGAACCTGGTGTGGAGGGCAGGGGTGAGCCGTGGGGGGTCCTCAGTGCCACCACTGAGGGTCCCCCGGGTATCACCCCTGTCCCCTCACCCTGGGCGCTCCTCACCGTATGAAGTAGTTGGCCCAGGTCTTGTGGTACTTGTCCCCCGCCTGCCCCTTCAGCGTCCCCTTCCCTATGTAGGACTCGCTGGTCTTCATCCAGGTGGGGGAGGTCCAGGGGCTGGCGTAGAGTGACAGCGGCCGCTTGCTCATGGCCATGGCTCGGTGCAGGACAGGGATCTGCGGGAGGGGGTGGAGGGACTGGCTCAGCTGAGCCCCCTGAGGTCCCCCATCCCACCCTGCTCCCTCCCACTGCTCGCCTTCAGCTTGGTGTCCTCATCCCGCAGGCTGAAGTGCTTCAGCTCATAGTCATAGGGAACGTCGTCGTAGGTGTAGGCGTGGAGGGAGAAGTCGCAGCTGGCCATGGGGAGCCGGACGAGGTTGTACTCCAGCCCTGCCAGGCACAGGGGTGGCAGTGGGACACGAGGTCTCCAAAACCTGCCGGCACCCAGGGTCCCTGCCGCCATCCTACCTGTCTCCCTGCGTGTTCTCACCTTCCTCAGAGAAGTACGAGCGCAGCAGGTGATCCTGCGCCTTTTCCGGCAGGGATAGGATGTTGATGGCGGCCGCGTCGGTGACGGAGCCACCAAAACCCTTCACCTTCTGGAACCGCTGCGTCGTGTCCAGGGTAAGGACAACGTCTGCAGGGAGGGGAGCCCAGTGTGACAGAGGGTCACAGCGGGGTCCACCCCATCCCTGCCACCTGTGGCGGTACCTGGGGCGCAGAGTCTGCGCCGAAACCTCCCCTTGCTCTGCTCCAGCCTCTTGCCGGCCTTGCTGCTCTCGTACTTGACGTAGGAGCCGGGGGGTGGCAGGACCAGGGGGTCCAGCGTGTCGCAGTACGTGGTGTTGCAGACACAGACCATGGCATCGCGGCCAAAGTACTTGGGGCTGCAGGGCCGGGCGCCTGGGGGGCACGGGAGGGTGATGGGGGCAGCCTCGGGGATGCGTCTCTGCCAGCTCTCCCACCTGCCCCAGGGTGATACCGCTGCCCCCGTGCTCCACATCCCGGCACCTCCTGGCCACCGAGCTCCACGCTGCCTCCGGGTGCCCAGACACTCCTGGGCATCCCCGGACACTGGACAGCCGCGGGTATTCCCTCTCCTTGCCCCCCTACTCCGGTCCACCGGGCACCCCCAGTCCACCGGGCATCCCCAGCCCTCCCGGGTAGCCCTGTCTCCTCCACCCACCGGGCACTCCCGCTCCCCCCCGCTCACCTGCGGCCCGGTGCGCGGCCAGCAGCACCATCACCAGGCGCCAGCACAGGGCACCGGCAGCCCGCATGGCCCCGCCGCTCCCGCTGCGCTCGGAGCCGGCTCCGCAGCACCGGGCCCGCCGCCGGCCTCGCCTTTAAGGGCGCCCGGGACGCCCGGGACGCCCGTCCCGCCCACACCCGGGGCGCCGCTGCAGGAGCGGCACCGGCTCTGGGCGGGCCCGGCCCCCCGCCCTTCCCGGCGCCGGTACCGGGACGGCGGAGCGGGGGGGGAACCGCAGGGGCGCGGGGCCGCTCCGCCCCCCCGGGACGCGCGGGTGGTCCCGGACCCGGACCCGGTGCCGCTCCCCGTGCCCCGCGCTGCCTCCCCCCGCCCCGACGGCACCGACCGCTCCGTCCCGCGGAGCCGCCACCGGGAAAATCGGGAAAACGGGAAACCGGCGCCCCGTGACCGGTCAGCTGATCGCCCGCCCCGCCCCGTCCCGCCCGCCCCGTGACACCGGCCCCACGGCCCCGTGGGCGGCGGCGACCACCTTTTATTCGGTCTCTAGCGAGGGGCAGCGGCCGCGGGACCGGCCCCGCAGCGCGGCCCGGGCGCAGCCGGGCGGGGACGGGGGGAACGGGCACGGCCAGCGCGGGGCACCGGCAGCGGCACCGGGAACGGCACCGGGAACGGCACCGGACGGGGCGGGGCGGCTGGAGAGGGGACAGGCATGGCAGTCCCAGGCTACGGGCACGGCTGGCCCAGGGGACCGGGGACCAGGCCAGCACAAGGGACAGGTGAGGGGACAGGCAAGGTCATCCTGGGGTACAGGCACGGCTGGCACAGGGAACTGGGGAACAAGCCAGCATGGCCAGCACAAGAGACAGGGCAGGGGACAGGCACGGCCAGTGCAGGGGACAGGGCAAGGGACAGGCATGGCTGTCCCAGGGCACAGGCACGGCTGGCACGAGGGGATAAGGCAGGAGACAGGCATGGCCAGCACAGGGGACAGACATGGCCATGCCAGGGTACAGGCACGGCTGGCACAGGGGACGGGGTACGGCCAGTGTGTGGGACAGGCACAGCCAGAACAGGGGACAGGGCAGGGGACAGGCATGGCCATCCCAGGGAACAGGCACAGCTGGCACAGGGGATGGGGCAAGGGACAGGCATGGCGCCAGCACAGGGGACAGGGCAGGGAACAGGCGTAGCCATCCCAGGAGACAGGCACTGGGGACAGGGCAGAGGACAGGCATAGCCATCCCAAGAGACAGGCACTGGGGACAAGGGAGGGCACAGTCACCGCTGTCTCAGCCCCCCAGCAGACATCCCAGGGGACCAGCCCCTCGCCCCGGCCCCGCCTGGGGAAAGGGCCAGCAGAGTCCCAGGGGCCACGGCGCAGGGCCCAGCCCCACCGGGGCAGAAGGAACGTCCGAGCAATGTCCAGGGCCAGGCCCAGAGCGGGACCCCTTCTCCAGAGCAGGGGGTCCCCGCGGGGGCTGCGCCCTCAGAGCGCGCTCTCCTTGCAGGCCCCGCTGAGGCTCCGGGGGCGGCTGCGCTCCAGCCGGCGCGCGGACAGGAGCCGGCGCAGGGACGAGGTGGAGCTCAGGTCCCCGCAGCTCTGCAGGTGGATTCCTTCGTGGGGCCGCTCCGCGCCCGGCCAGGCACTCCAGGGAACCTGCAAACCCATGGGGATGGGCTGGAGCCGTGGGACTGACACCCCTGCCCGTGGCACCCTCTCGTGCTCACCTCCCCCCCGAGCTCGCAGCCCCCACGCTCTGGTTCAGCTGGACGGCAGGGGCAGGAGGGCAGAGGTGACAGGGATGGCAGAGGCGGGCATCACACGCCCAAGGTGGCATTTGGGACAGGCTCGTTCCCATCAGGGCCTCCCGGGCTGCGCAAGGTGTCAAACCTCCCGTAAGCCGAGTTGTCAGAATGTGCCTCTGGGTGCGGTGACTCAGGAGCAAAGACAAAGCCCTTGCAACAGGCACGATTTTCCCACTCCTAACTCTGGTGGGGATCAAGGGAAAGGAGCTGCTCCCCAAGAAGGGCTGGGAAAGGGCAGTGCCGTGGGAAGGAGGCTCTGCCTGCAGCCGAAGTGCTGACAGCGTGAGTACCTGATGGGGGAAGGGGCACCACGGAAGGGAGGCCAGGGTGGGGGTGCTAGTGGGGACCAGAGGGAGGGAGAGGGTGCGGATGGGGGTTCTCTAGGAAGAAGGAGTCACCCCTGTCACCTGCGGCTGCCAGAACGCACCTGTTTGTGCCCCTGGAAGCTGTACCCAGACACCTCCACCCCGGCTGCCAGGCTGCGCTTGGGTCTCTGCAGGAACCTGGCCACCAGCCCGCGGGTGCCACGGCAGCCCTTGAGGTCCCCCAGGGAGCGAGTCGTGGTCTTTGACAGCTGCTCTGTCACCTTCTTGCAGGGTGGCAGCTTGGTCTTGCCCACCGAGCCGGCCCGGAGCAGTGGCGGGGAGTCACAGTGGGAACGGCGGAGCAGGCAGGCCTCGGAGCACAGCCCTGGGGGGACGCCACTGTCAGAGCCAGGACACTGCTCCTGAATGACCCATCCCTGTCCTCAGACCCGGGACACTGCCCTGATGGACCTGTCTCCATCCTCAGACCCCAGGACACTGCTCTGACAGACCCATCCCTGTCCCCAGACCCAGGACACTGCTCCTGGCAGACCCGTCCCCACAGCCCCCGGGGTCATGGTGTCTCCCCTTGCCAGCCAGTGGGAGCAGTCCCACCACAAGTCTTCATTGTTCCAGCCCCAGCAGGATGGGCCTGATCCCCAAAGGGCTGCAGAAATGCTCCCCCCACCCCTGTGTCTATCCCATTTCATCCCAGTGCCCTGACCTGTGTCGGCGGAGGAGTCGGACACGGTGTCCTCCAGTGCTTTGGTATAAAGTACTTCCCTGAAATCTGCTGGGAGCAGAGAGAGCCCTCAGGCTTTGGCAGCTGTGCGGACCCCAAGCTGCACGACCCCTTCCCCAGCACCCTCCCGCTGCCCCCATTCCTCCCCACCCGCCTCAGCCTGGCTCCAATCCCACGGGGCCGCGGAGAAACGCAGCCAAACCCTGCGGCACATCCCGGGGCTGCCCCGAACAGACCCTCCCACACGCACCTTGGTCGTTGCCACCTACCAGCATGGCCGGCCAGAGGGACGCCGGGGTCACTGTGCGACCTCAGCAGCGGGCACGGGGCCAGCCCCGGGGCGGGGGACGAGGGGCACGAGGTCTCGCTGTTGCGCCGGGGGTGGCCCGGGCGCCCGGCGCCGGGGTCCGTGGGGCGGCCGCCCCCCCTCCCCTGCAGCGAGCCCTTGTCCTTGAGCCGCACCTCGGGGAAGCAGGGCCCGGCGCAGCGCGCCAGCCCCGCCAGCCGGTTGCAGCTGTGGGTGACGGCTCCCCCCACCAGGACGCCGTCGTGGCCGGGCTCCGCCGTGGAGCAGGAGTAGGAGCGCTCGCCCCGCGCGCGGGGCTGGGGGGTCTCCTCGAAGGGGCCCTGCAGGCCCAGCGTGGGGCTGCGGGCGTGGTGGCTGCACTGCACGCAGTCCACGCTCAGGCAGTAATCGGCGCGGCTGCGCTGGATGGAGCGGAACAGCACGTAGTCGACGGAGCGCATGGAGCCCTGCAGCTCCAGCAGGCACGAGTCCTCCGAGGGGCTGCTGTCCCCGGGGATGTCCATGATCTCGGACATGATCAGGGAGCCGCTGTCCATGGACACTGCGAGGAGCGGAGGAGCGCCGTTGAAGGGCTGCAGGGAAGGGCCGGTCCCCCCGCGGCCCCCCGTGCCCATGGGGAACACTCACCTTCTCCGCTGAGCACGATGGAGGGGACACGGTCGCAGGTGCAGGCGTGTGAACCCTCTGTCAGCTGCGAGTCGTACAGGGTGGCCTGTGGGGCAACACGCTCAGGGCTCGGCCAAGCAGAGCCCACCCTGCCTGGCCTCCCCTGCCCGCAGCCCCCCGGCCCCCACCTGGCTGTCCCCCCGCAGCCCCATCACGGTCTCGTAGGACGGAGGGAAGTCAGTCGGGTAGAGGGGCACGGGGCTGTCCATGGAGCCATTGTAGGTGATGCTGCAGAGGCAAGAGCAGCAATGACATGTCTGGTGGGACAAGCCCTGCCTGGGGGCACACAGACCCCCCCCCCGCTCCACCGGCCTCGCCCCCAGGTGGTACCTCTGTGCGTCTGTCTCGGAGCTGCAAGTGTACTCAGGTGGGTAGTAGGGGGGTGGTGGCACTGGGGGCACGAACTCCTCGAAGTCCATCATGCTCTGCAGGAAGGTGTCAGGGGGGGACGTGCATTCCAGCGTCACAGAGCTCGAGCGCTGCGGGACCAGCTGCAGGGAGAAGGGAGAGCTGGAACTCCCCTGCCCAGAGATCCAGCAAGGGATGCACATTCTGGGCTTTAATCTGCACACGAACGGGGCCAAGTCCTGTCCTGGCACTCCGGGTTCCCCCCAGCCTGGGAGCACTGCTCCCCAGCCCTGTCTGTTCCCAGGCCAGGGCTGGGACTCACCACATGGACGATGTCGAGGGAGAAGATGCGGATGCAGCAGACGACAGCAGAGAGTGTGCAGATGACGGTGGAGAAGACGGTCAAGCCGCAGACACTGAAGAGGAGGTCCTGGGGAGCAGTGGGGTGAGCTGCAGAGGCCACAGAGCACGGTGGGGTGCACAGCCGCTCCCCTAGTCCCCCCCTGGACCCCCACCTTGAGCGCCACGCGGATGCTTCGGCAGTTGGGGTTGGGGAACATGGTCAGCATCTCGCTCTGTTGGCTGCAGGAGGCGGGCGGGGGCTCCGAGCGGGCCTGGCAGCAGACACACGAGTCCCTCTCCTGGCGACAAGGAACACCATGAGGGACCGCCCGCGAGGGCCACCGGCACGTCCCGCCGCCAGACCCCGGCTCTGCAGCTCCCCCTGTCCCCAAGCCCTGCAGCAAGGGACGAGCTGAGCGCGGAGGCCCGGGGGGCTCCGGGGCTGCCCCCGCTCAGCCTCACCCTCTCGCAGGCCTCCAGGGACTTCACCAGCTGCGCGTTCTGGCAGGACAGGATGGAGCCAGCCAGGCTCAGCATGACGCCCAGCACCGACAGCAGCGTGAAGAAGGCGATCTGCAGCGGGAGGAGAGGGGCTGCCGGCCACGCAGGGCTGCGGAGCAGGGAGCCGACACACACGGCTGCAGGGGCACGAGGGGCTGCTCGGCCTCCCCATCCTGGACTTCCCCACATGCGGAGGGGGTGTCGTCGTCCCCCCCCCCCAGCACCTACCACCAGGGTGAACGGCCGCTTCCAGGAGACGATGCCGACGAGCCCGGACAGCGCCAGCTGCAGACGCACAAACCCCGGGGTGAGGGTAGGGAGGGGTCTCTGCCAGGCAATGGGGCCCCGAGCAGCCCCTGCCCACGGGAAGAGCCCCCCCGATCCCTGGGGGGCCCGTAGCCAGCCCAGGAGCAGCAGGGCTGGAGGGGCAGCCGTGG